TGGAAGGTATGGAGCACTCCATACCTCAAGTTTTTCAAGGTATGGAATTCCATAGCTGAAATTAGGAAATAAATCGCATATTACTACAAACCCCATATAAATAAATCGCAAGCCCTTAAACCTCAATACCCCACATCTTATAGTTCAATAAATAAGTTGAGTATATACACTGCAAACTCTTAAACCTTAATACCCCACGAGTAATGCGAACAAATTTGAAAATCGCGCCACCATTTTCCATACCTCAGATTTTTACAAAGTGACACGCCTGGTTTTTAGAGCAAGAAAACGTAGAATTATTAGACCATCCGCCGTACAGCCCCGACCTAAGCCCTAATGATTTTTATACTTTCCCTAAAATAAAGAATAAATTGCGTGGACAGAGATTTTCATCACCTGAAGAAGCTGTGGACGCCTATAAAACGGCCATTTTGGAGACCCCAACTTCTGAATGGAATGGTTGCTTCAATTATTGGTTCCATCGTATGGAAAAATGTCTCAAATTTCGCGGAGAATACTTCGAAAAGCAATAAATACATTTTTAAATAGTAATGTTGTGTCACTTCCTTGATTCCCGAAATTTTCAGTGCCGCCCTCGTAAATAATGATATATCGTTATTGCAGTTTTTGAAATTACGTGTAAATAAGGCTTCTATTTTTATATGAAATTATCCCATACTGAATGTTTATTGGCAACGTTTTTGCCTACCGATCGACTTACGAATGTGTGCATGCGCAGTAAAATCAGTTGAAATAAACCATTAATCACGCATTTTGAATTCAAAAGATAAAAAGGACAGAATATTTGAGATTTTATTTAATTTTTATTCACCATTATTTACCTACATCACTTATTCTGAACCTTCTCTGCAAATTTGGTCGGTTATTGCAGAATAATTCTATATATAGGCAATCGTTCAGAGACTGATAGCATGATTTAGGCTTTGGCTCGTTTTCGCTTGTGACGCGCCGACAGCGCGCCGCTTTCCAATCCAATTCCATTCATGTTGACGAAGTTGCAAGTGTCAGGAGTTGCATTTTTAGTCTAAGCGGTGAGTCCAGAAAATGAAAGTATATGCTATAAGCACCGTGAAGCAGAGGCGAACAGTAAGACTCAAGGCCGTGCTGAACACTAGCGCAGAAAGTGGTTAGAAGAGCAGAAAGCGTTATTCCAAAGCTGCGATTAACCTTGTTAAGCTAGGGTGAATCAGGAATCTCTACGATTGGGTTCCCGTCAAGTCGTGGCGGACTGGTTGTAGTTTGGTTATTTATAGTGAGATGGCCACATAGAGTGAACTTAGCGGACTACTTCGTATGTGCGTTGGTGGACTACGGCGAGAAAGGTGTTTTTTTCACTCTTCCCTCCGTGCCGCAAGGCGGGTATGCGTTGGATTATCACCATGTAAAAAAAGAAGACTGGCGCAGCAGGAGTTGAAGACTGCAGACGGTAGGAAAGGAAGGAGTTGACGTTTCCGTTTTTCGAGGTTGCAGGTTGCGTGTTTATATGACATCAGGTTGTCACCACGTTGGTCGTCGAAAGAAAAGTGGAGATCTCCCGACGAGCAAAGTATACACCCTGGGGAGTGCCAACCCTCTATGTAGTTGTACGGGGCTATTTTATATTATGTACAGACTCATTCGGAAACTCCGATTTAGGGGTAATTTAGGCTTAGGTTCGTTTACGCTTGTGGTGCATCACAGCGCCGCTATACGATGCAATATGTATCTACTATTGTCAAGTTTCATGTTATAAAAATAAAAGAAAAAGATATAAAACTTTTTAAGGAGGGTATTCCACGGGTATTAGAAGGTAGAAGAAACGGGAATGCGGGACAGAGGCGTAGCGTGGACTAATATAGGCGTGGGCGGAGTCGCATCAGCGTGGCCCCCTTTTCTTTCGTTCCCAAAATCTACCCAATAGATTTATCCTACCAAACATGCTTTGACACGACATTGCTATTAATTTCTGACAAGTCTCGTATTCCGTCAATCTAACGGTCGCGGTCTTTGAGCAACGACCTCGCAGTCTCACTTAAGAGGGGCTTCTTGCGAGGCCCCAAACAAACACGCTTTTAAATTTGTAAAAATCGTTAAATTTGTCAAATCAATTAGTCAACTGTAATAAAGTCTGGCAGCATCGCATTTAAAGGGGCCTCGCGAGGCCCCTTTAAATGTGAGGCCGTGGGCGAGGGCCCACTTCGCCCACGCCTAGCTACGCCACTGATACCGAATAATTATTTCGTTGCTGCCAAGGTGCAGTTGTCCAGTCACCAGACGGTCGTTAAAAATAAAAACCTTGTCTTTAAGTCTCTTATAGCACAAGTATTTTCTTTATATTGATAATAAGCTTAGATTTTTTAATTAAGCAGTGAAAATTCTTTAACTTCACCAGGGTTGGCATCATCTTACATAGTCTGTCGCCAAACAGCAGTTCACCCACTATTGTTCTGGTTTGAAGGTTAAGGGAGCTAGTACAAGTACTAGGTTAAGCAATAAGTATTTGGAAACGCAATGAAACTCTGAGATAAGTATATGTCAATCGTATTTATTTTTCAATGTAATCGCCTTTTAAGCTAATACAATTTTAAAAAGCGTTATGCAAGTTGGTTAATTCCCTTGGAAAAAAAGGTTTGATCCTGGGGCTCCATAAAGGCCTCTACAGCAGACATCACCTCATCGTCGCCGTTGAATTTTATAAACCACGCAAGTGTGGATACAAGGTGAGTAAAAAGGTGAAAATCAATCTGAGCTAGGTAATATGGTGGGTGCTGCATCAACTCAAACCCAGCGGTTCGGATGGCAGCGCCTGTAACAACAGTAAGATAGACAGGGGCATTATCATGATATCACGCAATTTTCCTCGACGTTTATTCTTTAGTTCTTCGCGTAGTTTTATGATTAATGATTCGTAATAATCTCCGGTTATTGCTGCTCCTTCATTATTATACCTTCCGCATACCACAAGACAGAGACCTTATATCTCTTGGCTGTCGGGGAAGATGGTATTTTCCACACCTTGCTTTGGTTCTTTCATCTCCGGGTAATAAATAATGTCCTCCAGACCGAATTTCGGTCACGGCGGTCAGTCTCAACCGAGACTAGCCATCGGCGCAGGACAGGATTAAAGTGCCCAAGTGTATGCGCAAGCACAGGTGCACTCTCTATTCCCTCACTCTCATAGTCCGATGGGACGGTAAACCGACACGACCGGAGAGAGATCAGGCGCAGGACCAACAGCTTAACGTGCTTTCCGAGGCACGGGGGTGAGACACCGCCAACTTCCTGACTCCGGGCAGCTACTGAGAATTTCTTGATAGAAAAACTCAATAACTGATTTTTTTTGGCCCGACCCGGGATTCGAACCCGGGACCTCATAATCTGCAGTCGCACTACTACAACCACTAGACCAACGAGGCAGTCAATCATCTCCGGATAAATTTCATCTCCGGGTAAAAAAGGCACAAAAAGAATCTGAACTTTCATCAACTGTTTCTAAATTTAGCTTTGAAATATCAACTCTTGCTTTCGTTTGGGCGTCTGTTATCATTCGAAGAACCGAGCGGGCGGCCATCTTATTGAGTTTTAAGGTATATGATATGAGTTAAAATAAACTCAATTATCCCAAACGAAAGCCTTAGAATCTCAGCTAAATAACGGATGGTCACACGTCGATCTACCTTAACAATTTCGATTACTTAACGTTTTCTTGCGTAGCGGCAGTGGTTGGTCTCCCGGAGCGAGAGTCGTCATTGCAGGCGGGTTGCCGCGTTTGAATTCAGCGCACCATTATGCATCTGTAGAATTAGACGGAGCGATGTCTGCCAAAGTAGTAATTGCGAACTGCAAAAAAAATTTTTTGTAGAAAAAATTTTTAGGCAAGTTTTATTTAATAACCGCACGAAGTTGAAGTTTCTCCATTTTGCATACGAATTAAATTCTAGCCAAATATGAAGTTTAAAAAAATTGGATATAGTTTTTAATTTAATTTTTTTTTATAGAATAAGGTTGACAACCGTGCACACAGTCCACCTGTTGGTAAGTAGATACTGTGGCCCATAGACATCTACATTTATCCTCGATTAAGAATCAAAATTGAGATGCGTTGGCAACCTTGAGGACTAAGATGGAATGCCTTGTTTCCAGTAAAAAGGGTCTGCGGTTCTCTACACTCGCCATACGAAACACAGCAGAATTAAGCTGGTATTCAGTGAGAGCGTGGTCCCACCCTGATCGAGCCGCTGCAATCGTGCTACAACCATAATATAGCTGCAGCATGGCTCTACCACATATGATATTTTTTTGGTCAATAATAACGAATTGAAGATTTGAAATAAATAGAACGCATTTCTATAACTCGTTGATAAATGTTGAAAAATTCCTATTCCGAAACTTATTGATCTACCTAGTACATACTGTAAGGCATCTTTGTCCACAGGGGTGACAATTCATTATGTGCCTGAGGTTAGTTGCAGAATGGGGTTACCATATCTCAGGATTTGTCCTGAGATTTCAGGATTGCGGCCAGATTTTGCAAATCTCATGAAATCTCAGGATTTTTAGAATTTTCAATACAATACAGCTTAAATTTTAAAGATCTCTTTAATAAAAAGTTAAACAAACTAAAAATAATCTTCCTTTGGTAATAATTGCACAATTAAAATCAAAACTTATTTATCCAAGTAGGTACTTAAACAGTTTTATCATACTTAATATGTGAAGATACTTTTTTAAGTAAGGTTTTTTCTCAAACTGTAAAAAATCTCAGGATTTTTATACGGAAATCGGGCCTTTTCTCCGGACTTTTGGTTTTTTCATTTGGTAACCCTAGTTGCAGATGTCCATGGATGGTCACTTGCCAACAGGAGGATTGTTATCTCGTTTATAGTCCCACCAACTTATCTGTGAACTGACAGCTGCGGCAAAATTGTGAACTACAGCCGCCATTTAATCAAATGTCACTCGATACGTCATTGTTTTGAGAGTTTACAGAAAAATAAAAAATGCCGAAAACCATTAAAAGTGATGCCCGAAACATTATTTTAAAAGTATTCAACTTTTGTGAGCAAGAAGCTCGAGGGCAAGCACCGATAATGCCTTTCAATCAGGTCTATAAAAGAGTATCAGCTGCTACAGGTCAGTATTGCTAATTTTTGTTCCTTCCTTTCGTATTTCCGATAAATGGATTGGTTAATGCAATTCATTTCTTTTTCAGATGTTAGTCAAGGATTCATTTCCAAAATAGTTAAAGAACAAAAAAACCGCATAAACCACAGGAACGCAAATTACAACGCCAGGTAAAAAAGGCATATTATTTAATTAAAGTTTAAATTGTTCAATTATGATATTTTTGATTCTTCTTGTTTTTGGACATATATCTGTTAAATCTGTGTTCTAGTTATTTTATTCCGTGACTAATTTATTACCCTAGTATGTGGACTCTATGTAGGAATATAAGACCCTTAGATGGGAATATTCCCGAACTGGCAACACTTCAACGCAGAAGCGCCAAGCTGTCAGTTCACAGATAAGTTGGTGGCACTATATCACTCTAATATATAAAAAAAATCTTTACATGTTCTCTCTTTGTTTAAGTTTGTTTAAGTTTCGAAAGTTCGTTTTAATCTGTGGTTTTAATATTAAAATTTTGACACATAAATGGAAAACTGATGAAAATATTTTAAAAAAGATTTTAAATGTTTTAACAAATGTATTATGTTCCCGTGTTTCTTCCTTTAAAATTACAACCCAGTGCTTGACTACAATTCTACTACAATTGTTATCGATGAAGCATGAAGCCATAGAAGGTAAATCGTATTTACTCTTGGCTTTGCCACCCCCATTTTTTTATAACTGGCTTGACGGCTCTGCTTTCTAGCCCTTCTGAGCCTGAAGTTACAATGTATAATTATCCTTCATAGTACACTGCTTCACAATAATATGTTGATGCGTCACATTATGCAGCCCTTGGGAGATTTTGATGGCAACATGAGCCAGCAGACAGCTGAAAGTTGGCGATGGTATCTCTAGGCCCTAAGCAGACAGACCTTATCTTGAGAATCACATCACCATCAGAGCACTTGTTTCACCGTTTCCACTAATAGTTCACATGTGCAGACACTTAATACACAAAATCGCACCACTTTCACATATCAAAATCCACTTCAAACCATTATTTAAACAATAACACAGGAGTAGCAAACCGCCGCCGGTCAAGTTCCCGCCAAAACTCCTTGTCGCCCCCAGATTGTAAAAGGACGGAAAGACACGCCGCGAAAATATTCCACTCTTTTGCTGAACGCATTACGAAACACTTTTTATTTATTTGAACCATTTTATCAAATTGCGTTGGAATGGAAAAAAACAACGAATCAATGTCATTAGCAAGGAGGATAAGGAATAAATACAACTTGTAGAAGGTGTATCACACAGTCAGAGGTCGCCTATAAAATATTATTTGCTTATTACGCCACAGGGGCTACACGTCCATCATAAGATAACAGAGATTTGTATTTAAACAAGTTTACAACTACGAAGTAAAGATTGTCGAGTCATTAACTCAATAGTTGTAATAAGATTAATGAACTTTAATAAATAGGAAATATAAATAAAAGTTATATCATCATTAATAGAATCAGGCGTTACTTTGCGGAAGTCCATTATATTAAATTTGACAAAAACCTATCCAACCTAGCCAACGACCACTCCTTTAAAGTCTTACATACGTGTAATAAAGGGCTGCGGCTGTGTGTGCTGGAACAGTTAGAGATATTAAAAAGTAATAACAGTAAGGTTGCACTGCTGAATGAACAAACAAATGTTTCTAACTCACCTCTCCTAAATATCTTTAAGCCTACTCTCTAATAGCAGACAGCCTCGCAATATGATCGTTCGTCACCCTCACGATCGGCGATTGGTTGCGTGGTTGGAGGGTAGGCGGGCGTTACGCGGCGGTTTGTTTTTAATTTTACAAACGGCTGCGTAAGTCCGGCGGTGATTGGTCGCATGTTTTATCGCATGACGCAGTCGCTCGCTCCTTAAGAAAGGAGCGGTTGGGTCAGCGGTCTGTATAAAAGGCAGTTGTTTTGGCTCGCCGCTCACTTAGCGGTTAGCCACCGTAGAGTCTATATCACCTGAGGATGCCTCGTGTACAGGCGAAACACGTGTCGTATTGTCGTCAGTGGTGTGTCTTTCCTAGTGTAGTGGTGTTGGGAGTAGTGGTGCTGGGATTAGTGGTGACGGGGATAGTGCACGCAATTGAGGGAGGGCGGGAGGTGCTCTTCAAACTAGGTAAGACACATCATTTTGATTTATCTAGCGGATGTATGCAAAGTAATTTTTGTCAAATTTAGTTATATCATTCTTCATCTTTATAAATCCACAGCCACGCTGCAGCTATATTATTTGTAGCTCGAATTGGTCTGCTAGACCGGGAAAAAACCACGCTCCCTCAGAATACTAGCGTGATTTTTTGTGGCTTAGTACCCGCTCTTAATGTTTCGTAGGGTGTTATCTATGGGCTACAGTATCTACTTAATCAGGTGGACTGTGTGCTCGGTGGTCACCCTTATTCTATAAAAAAAAACATAAGCCTCCCTCAACAATGCCACAAAGCACGGACTTGAGCCACCTGAATCTATCGATTTCCTGAACGTCTTACAAGGTCATTACATCACGTAGCACCTAGTGACGAGTGTGATTAAAACACTATGTGGTAGAGTGCGTAAATTAATTTTTATATTTAAAAAACTGAGACATGTTGCTAATAGAGAAGTCCTAAAATTGGCTTATTATGCCTTGTGCCAATCTTTATTGACATACGGAATTGAAGTGTGGGGCGGAGCCGCCAAAACACATGTTATTGAATTAGAACGTGCGCAAAGATCACTTTTAAAAGTTATACATTTTAAACCTTACCTATATCCAACTTTAGATCTGTATAAAATTAGCGAGGTTCTTACAGTTCGACAGTTATTCGTACTCCATATTGTCTTAAGACAACATACAATTACAAAAGTAACTCAAAAAGAACATCGTCGTAATCATCTTGTAGCTCGATCAGTGCCATGCAACACATCTTTTGCAAGGAAATTCTTCACGTTTTTGGGACCGTATTTGTATAATAAATTACACCATAAATTGTCTATTTATGAAGTCAACAAATGGTCATGTAAAAATAGACTCGTGGGATATCTTCAGACTCTATCATACACAGACACTGAAAAATTACTCCAAATAATATCATAAATACACACAAACATATACACGGATATACTAACAGTCACACACTCACATACATACATACATAATTACATAGTTTTTATTTTGTTTATTTCTATATAGCCGAACTGTTAATTGGCTATATATAATATAATTTCTAATCATAACATAAGTTATCTCTGTATATTATACTAAGTGCCTAGTAAATTCGGGGGGGGGGGGGCCTGGTGACCTGTAATACGGGTCTTTGAACCTACACGGGCACCAGTCTCCCACGAATGACATAATATTGTTAAATAGAGATGTAACACTAATGTAACCAATGTCCATGTCGTTTGTGGTGAGAAATAAATAAATAAATAAATTTAAAAAAAATAAAAGTGACGGCCGCCTTACAATACGCTTATCGGAAAGTGGTTGCCACTCGAGAACCTATCTTTTCCATTGTACTTCGGTTGTACGTCCTATACGTAGGCTATAGACCGGTCTGTTGTTACTTCATCTTGCTGATCCGTTGGGTTGAAACTCCGAGTATAGTCCCTCTTCATAGTTTACTCAGGGACCGTGAAGATCCACGTCAAAAATTCATGTGTCATCTCTGGCGACACGCACTGGTTATCTCGTCCCTTTTGGTTATAATGGTTAGGAGCGGCCCTATAAAATATAGGAACGTTTACATATGGATAAAATATGAGCCTGACATGTCCAGCTGTGATCTTCTTCTTTTTTAATTATTGTTTACCGTTATAGCCTACTAACACACTTCGCTGTTGGATTTGCAGACGCAATACTAAGCAATATGTCGGTCACGGCACAGGGAAAGGTTTAAAGTCTACAGCTGAACATAGGCCTCCCCCATAGATTGCCTTATGGGTATGGGGATATTTGCTATAGTTGCCAAGCTTGGCGAGCGGGTTTGCAACCGCAGTTTTTTATTTTTAGCCGTTATTAGGTAGACGCTGCTGCCTATCTCCTGATTTGTTTCCCTCTGTCGCCTCTTAAGACGCCTAAAGGGTGGTATTATGTGGTAGTGGGTATTCTTACACCGCCACTACACAGTTTTGTTATTGTATAAGTGATGGTTTCGCTTCAGCAGTTCCACTGCACTAACTACGTCGAAGAATAGAATAATATATTACACTGACCTCTTTTATCATAGAGGTCAATTATCATTTGTGATATTGACGCTCTGCTGTCGTAGACGCGACAAGATGTTGCTCCCTGTTATCATTAAATATCAGAAGCAGCATAAATACGAGGGTATCAGCCCTGACCCCACCAACCCACCTGCCTAATAGTAAGGGCAAACGGTCAAAGTAATTCTCGCTAGATGATGCATTTATGGAGCGATTATGGAGTGGAATTAAAGAAAGCTAATTTTATAATAATTATTAGTTCCATCGTTGTGAGTGGTCGTAAGTGCGGCAGCTGATCTTGTGGTCCGATGTTCGAATCTCCAGATTCGAGATTTTATTATCAAATCCTCTGCAGCAGTCAGGAATCAGGAAGTTGGCGGTGTTTAGGCAGATTGCCGTCCCGTCGAACTATGAGAGATATAATAGAGAGTGTACCCGTGCACTATGATCTTGTACTGCGCCGATACCTAGTTTCTGTTGAGACTGGCCGCTGTGATACATAATTTAAAATTAAAAAATTTGTACAACCGACTTCAATATAAATTATCAAGAGTAACTCAAACACTATTGGTCAGACCTTGATCAAATTTATATTATGGGACCACATGTGAAGCACCAGCTTTCAAATAAAAAAAAGAATCATTGAAATCGGTCCACCCAGTAAAAAGTTATGAATATTTAAGAGAATGTACGCGTTGAAAATAGAACCTTCCACTTTTTTGAAGTCAATTAATCATTAGCCTGTAGTGGCGGTGTAAGAATATCCACTACCCCATATCGTCCCTTGGGTGTCGTAAGTTGCGACAGACGGAAACTGGAACAGAAAATGGTCTAGGAAATCTTCCTGATAACAATTCAAAATTATGAAAAAATACTGCGGTTGCCAACCCGCCTGCCAAGCGTGGCAAAATCCTCCCATGAGGCAATCTATGGATATTATGTGAG